CCCCAAAACCCCAAAACCCCAAAACCCCTTAAACTCATCTCTAAATTGAAATAACTCAAGTTGAGCCTTATAATTACTTCTCCTTAATCTCTTCCACAGCCCAAACTCTAACCTTGCCACCTTCTTCTATCCCTTCCTTATCCATTTTCCCTTCAACGACTGACTCTTCATTAATAACTTCTCTATAGACCTTACCCATCTTGATCATTTTGATGAGGCCGTAGACAACTCCAATGATGAAAGCAAGAGCGGAGATGGAGATCATGGCATACACTAGAGCATGGATCTCCTTCTTTTTGTACGAATCTGTCTCAGTTGTAATTGAGGAACCGTTCGAGGAGATTATTTCATTGATTAAATCAAGGATTTCACCACCTAAATCTAGTGTTCCAGCAGCGTGCTGAGAAGCCAGGATTTGGGCCATTTCAACTAAGTTTTTTCTCTTGTCTGTGGTACTTGTGCTAGTAATCTGGTAATTAATAACCACAGATCCCTCAGATATGCCGACAATCTTAATTTGGTCAGTTGAAATACTGAGAGCAAAAGCTAGTTTGTTAACAAAGTCTTCTTCGAAGAACTGGTCAAGAGACATTTTGAGTCTTACAAGCCCTACAAGATGATCTTGTGCTCTGAGATAAACTGTACAGTTTCTCTTAAGGACGAACTCATAAATGTAATCGCCTTGTTCATATCTGCTATCTCCACATTTTGTAATGTCAAGGGGTCCAGGTTTGCCAAGAGTTCTATTGTAGGACTGTGAAGCAATATGGGTTTCAGCTCCTCTGTTGATAGCAGTAGAGACTTCATATAAGACTGATTGTGAGAAATCAATTCTTGCAATGAGATAATCGTTAACATTTGCCCCTTCAATCTCGTATCGAGTATTTCCTGGAGTAGTTCCTTTGAAATAGACTTCGTACTTTTTATCCAATTCAATAAGCCCTGGGAACCTACTTAGCCTCTTCTGACAAGCATAATGGTCATCTCAGCAGTGATCTTTAAAGGAATTCATGGTATTGTTAAAAGAAGTTCTCAGCCCTGTTGATCTATCAATTCCAAAGTAGTTGATTGGTGAGATTGTTCTTTCCTCAGTGTCTGCGTCCATAGATTCCATTAGTAATTGAGCTATCTTTTCATTTTTGCAGAGATAACCATTCCATCCAGCAAGTTTTGAGCACCCTGTAATGTGGTCAGCTGCCTCAGAATTATCAGGAATGATCTGGAAGGCAGAATCTGAGTAGGATGGCTTGTTAGTTCCAGTAAAGGTAGTTCCTTCGAATTTATAAACAGCATTCTCAATTCCAGTACATGGGAAGGATCCACAAGCTTTCAGAATCGCCCAAGCAGGATTTGAGCCAGGGAAATAAGCAACAGCATCATTGTGAACATTGTTAAAAATTGAATCTGTGTACCTATTTACTGCTGCAAAATCTGAAGCAGAAGGATTCAAGCCGATAACTCTCTGAAGCTTTGTAGTGGAGGAAGCACAATTCTGCCTTGTCCCTGATGGAAAATTCTTAAATGTTATGTTGATATGATGAGCTTCTGTGAACCAACTTCCATAACTCTTCATTTTGTGATATGGTAGATTAGTAAGCTTGAGTTCTGGGAATACTTTGCCCTTTTGAGTACCAGAAGACCCCCACATTCCATTGATGTCAATACAATAACTTCCAGAATCTTTAGGTAGAGCTAAACTCTCCCCCATGATAACAGAGTTTTTAAGAGTGATATAGTTATTCACAGTATCTCCTTTGGTCATTAGAGTTACTCCGATTCCATTATCAAGGGTCTCGACATTGGTGACTTCTAAACTTCCGAATTCTTGGTAGGAAAATACTCCTTCTTCGACTGTTTTATAAGCTTTGAAGTTTCCGAAATAATGTTTACCTGCAGTACAAAGAGTATTGTTGAGCAACCAAGCTCCATGTTCAACTGAGTGTGCCATGTTATTAGTCATATTTGTGAGAGTAGAGTCACATGAGGCTGGAAGGGCAAATCCTACTCTATGCCCACCAGCAGCGATATTTCCAGTTACAGTTAATTCATTACAGTTTTGATCATGATTTCAGAAGTTAAAGAGAGCAAGCTCATCAAGTCTAGTCTCACCTGACCAATATCTAGTGCCCATTCCTGCAACTACATTGTTGGTAATCTTTGTTTTATCTGATCTCTTCATCCAGATTCCACCAACATGATGGAACCAAACCATGTTAGAGTCAACTGTTATGTCTTCAGCGTGAGATACCATGATTCCAATGCCAAGTCCATCATGGATAGCTGAGTTTGTTACTTTTGATCTTATGTCATCAGCTGTCAGTCCACTAATATCTGTAAATCTCACAGAAGCTTTATCAGTATCGTATTGAGAACAATTTTTGAATTCAACATGATCAATAATGGCCCATCCTCTTCTAGTAACAGTACTGAGTTTTCCATTAAGAAATTGGGAATCTTGGTTATGAGCTGTCACAACATGGGCTCCCCATCTATCTTGGTTTACGCCAACAATCTTGATATTTCTTGTCAAATGAAGAACTTCTGATCTGATATCAATAGTTCCTGACTCGCTTGCATCAATAGAAGCTGCTCCATAGTGATCGAATTTAAGTGCTTCAGTCAGAGTGACAGTATTTCCATTGATCGATGCAATAGTCACAGAATCTCTTTGTTCCCAATCTCTTCCGCTTGGAGCGATACCAAGCTGGTCTCCAGCTTTCCAGTCAGAAGGAGTATCTGTAATTTTAATTGTAGTAGCACCAGCAGCTGCTGGCTCAGCAAGTCTTGTGAACTTGATGTCAACAGATTTTCCATACATAGTCATATTTCCAGTGTTAGCAATTACTTTGTTCCCTCCTTCGAACATTTTCGTATGGAAATAGATGTCCTTGTCACTTCTTTGACCGTGTAATTCAAATGTCATACTAGCCTTAAATGGCTCTGCTTCTGTCCCTACAACTAAATCTCCTTTCCTAATGAATATTAAATAAGTCCTTAGAATTCGGTCTTTATCTGTATTCTCAATTGTAAGTCTCCCATTGACTTCAATACTTTTCAATATAGGTGAGTCTTCAAGATCATAGAGCATATTCCAAGTTGGTTCGATCAGGACCTCTTCCCCAGCAACTGGGACTTTACCTGATGTCCAAGAAGAAGGATTGCTCCATCTTCTGTAGTTTTTCTCTATTTCAGCATCTTCAGTTAGGTCAGCATTACAATTTCCCCAAGAGATGCACTCATCTGCCTTCAGCTTGAAAGAGAGAGTGTCGTTACGTTGCCCATCAAATTTAATCTGAATATGACGCGTCACATTATTGAAGTAGACATCTCCATTCTGGCTTGAGCTATCGAGACTTAAATGAGTTGTCTTTGGAGTGATAATAGTATCAGAAGTTCCATTAGCATGAGTATATGTATAGTTAAATGCCTCTCTCCTTTCTGTATGATTCAGGTTAAGAATTATTCCTCTTGTTTCTCCTTTCAGAAGCTCAGCATAACTGTATTGACCAGTTAGTTCTTCGAAATCAGCTCCATTGTCAAGATGGAAATTATATTGATATCCTGTGATCACTGGGAATACCCAATTTTTGAAAGGATTCGCTTTCAGACGATAGTCAAAATTTTGATAGGAGTCGTCATTACAGAATGCGTTATCATATTTCCACAGTTCATCATATTTACCCTTCTCAGCATCCACTAATGGTTCAAGTCTTGTGATAGCTTGCTGTGCTGAATCCATATTAGTTTGTGCAGAATCGATTTGGGCTTGGGATGCACCAGCGACACCATTCTCATAATCAGCTACAGCCTGGTCATATGCAGTTTTATTAGTTTTTCTATTGTGGAAGGCAGCAAGTAAATCAATCTGATTTTGCATAGAAACATCATCATGAGACTTAATTGTAGAAAATGTTGAAGTCTGGTTTGCATTAGCACAATCAGCCAACATTCTTCTCCCGCTTGCAGTATGGTTAAGATTTAGTACTTTTATAGGTCTGTTCTTTAAAACATCAAATTTTTTAGGGTCATGGAGCAATACTCTTCTAATACTGATAGATTGGTCACATATCAATCCTCCATATATATCTTCATTCCTCTGACATTCTGGGACATCCAAATGCTTGTAGTAGGGGACAATCCATCTATAAGTAGAGTTTATTGATTCATTCAACAATTGAAATTTTGATTCTTTATGCATCCATGAATTATCCAACCAAATATCTGAAATCTATAAAAATTATCACAAAATGACTTATACAAGAGAACCATCTTCGTCATAAAGTATTTCCTTGTAAGGCTCATCAAACTTGACTCTTCTATCACAGTTTGTGAAGTATAAGTTCTTAAGGAAATAAGTTCTTCCAGATGAATCAGTTCCTGAACCTTCGCAATGAGAACATGTTCCAAGAGGACTCCAATCTGTGTAATTTTTGTAGTTTACAAACAGAATGTCTTTTACCCTCATTTTCTCTGTTTTAGCACCTTTTAGACCTCTTGTTCCACCGAATTTTTCATTAGAATCATGTCCAAGATCATGTAGAAGGCCTTCTACATTAGTCTGGAATGTCATTTCCGCATTATCTGAAGCTCCAACAATAAGGGCATCTTGAAGTTGATATTCTTCGTCTTCTCCAATCCATGGGCCAACACCAGTTCCACTAAATTCAATTCCAGCGAATAAGTTATCAGCAGTGACAATGTTGTGGAATCTTACAGCTCCAAATTCTTCTCCCATAACTCCAGATCTATTGTTCTTATAAGTAATGAAGTCTCTGAATCTTGTGACTACAGGTGTGGTTCCTTCACCCACTATTTGATCTCTTCCGTTAGCATTTCTAAGTCCAGCACAAGGGTCTTCGACAGGGTTAAATCTGTGGAAGATTCTGAGTCCGTATTTACCATTAGAATGAGCAACATTTCCAGTAAATTCTCCTAATCTTTCATACTCTGGGCAAATGTCTGGGTCATATGAAGGCCCAGTTGGATGAACTTGCAAGTCAAACCAGAATCCATACTTAGCTGATCCAGCAGCGTGATTATCAATGAAAATATTGTTTGGATGAGTGATCCAGAATGCTGCAGGTGTCTGATCAGTGTTCAATAAAGACCAAGATCTCATACTCTTCATTACTAAGTTTCTTCTTAAGTAGTTATTAGTCTCTACAGCATCTTCAATAAAGAATGTGTGACCCATTGTTTGGTAAGCAAAGTTATCTTCTAATGTTAGGTAGTGAACACCATGAATGGTGCAAGCTCTATTGTAAGTATGATGAATAGAATTTCCTTTAATGTATGATCCGTGCACTGTTCCAATCATATGGAAATGAATTGGGTATCTTCCAAGTTGGAAAGCTTGGCCTACTTGAGTCAACTCTACATATGAGATTCTTCCTGTCAAGCTCTCATCTCCTGGAGAGTGAAGCATAATATGAGCACCATACTGATTCTCAACTGAATCATCATCAGCTCCTTTAAAGATGAGATTTCTAGTTACTAATCCAACTTCAGCTCTCATCGTTAAAGTCTTTGTCTTGTCAGGATTGATTCCATTACTTCCAGTATAATCCTTACTTTCTGCAAAATGAGTACGCTCAGCTGCTCTATTGAGAGTTATTATAGACCCATTCGGTCCATCATTGTTGATATCTTTGATTGTGAATTCTTCAGTGTATTCAAGACTGAAGTCTGTCGAGGCAATAGCAATTACTTCTCCAATTTTCCAGTCGACATGCTTCATCAGAGTAATAGATCCACCTCCTGGGCTCAGTGTTGAGTAAAGTTCTGTCCAAGTCACATTTCTGTAGGCTCCATGCATATCAAATTGAGAATGTCTTACAAAAATTCCTTTGTTTCCATAAGATGGAATTTGTGTACTCTCTCTAGTACCATGCATTGTAATAGTCAGTTTAGAAGTATATCTGTTATCTGGTGTTCCTGCTTCAAATACACCTCCAGAGTGTATGAAAATGTAATTAGCATCAAAGGTTCTGTGATGGTTTTCATTAGCATCTGGGATAAAAACAAGAGATCCTTCTACTATAATTGCATTTAGTTTTGGAGATTCATCAATATCTACAATAAGCATCTGTCCTTTAGGAATCACTATCGAATCACCTTCTTGAGGAGTGAATTCACCGTTCCAAGTATCCAAATCACTCCAATTGTTAGCGTATGTAAAGGTATGTGATTGCATTGATGCAAGTCCATTAGAACCAGCCGCAGATGAAAACGATAGTACAGTTGTTGGGTTTGCCACAACGGCAGGCCTTGCTTGGGTAGTACAAGTTACTGTTGTGGAAGTAACAGAATTAGTAGTACATTCAATTCCATCAATAAGTACTTTGGTCTCAGTTGTTGTAGCACTAAATCCTTCACCGGTAATGGTAACAATATCTCCTCCTTTATAGGTTCCGTATCTTGGTGAAATTCCTGTAACTTTAGTTGTAGCACTATCCTGATAGTTTACTTTGTTTGGTAATAGAGTTGGAGTAGCAGAACCAATCGAGACATGAACATCACATGCTTTTGAAGTAGCAGAGTCATTAATGAATTTGTTTCCAATCATCTCTATTTCTACTATTGGTCAGCTAACAATATCCTCAACATAAAGTCTGAAGTACTGAGAAGAAACTGGAGTGGTGAAATTATTTGTATTCCATCCTTTTCTCATAAGTCTATCTCCTACGAAAACATTCGTGCCCCAGTTGGTTCCATCAGTAGATGATTGAAACTTCACCTTGTCGACACAGTTGGTTTGTTTATCTGTCATTTGGCCCATGAAATATCGTACTTTGGTGAGTTGAGCAATATTTCCTACTCCGAAATTGTATCCAACTCCAACAGCTCCAGTTCCTGTAACTTTGTTAGTAGTTATTCCATCAAAAGCTAGAGACCCTGTTGCAGAGTCACTTATCAAGGTTCCTGTGAGCACCTGAGTATCAACTATTGAAAAGCTTTCTTGAGAGTGTGAATTCACATAATTAGGAGTAAGTGCAACTATTTTACTTGAGTCAGAAGCTGCAAGATCAAAAGTAGCTGGCATGTTACAGACAGTAACTTTTATATCACCTCCTTGAGCTCCAGTCTTAAGCCCCTGTCCTTGAATCGTAATGGTACAACCTCCAGCAAACGAACATGATATATCGGCTCCAGAGCCTGTGATAGATTCTGTATTCAGAGTATGGCTTGAGGGACTGGTATAGACCACATTTCCATCTTTTTCAAACTTTACTTTGACGTCTGTAGCTCCTGGAGTGAACCCATTAGCGAATGTTGCAGTAGCAGCTGTCCCACTGATAGACGAAGCCTGAGAAGAAGCCATCCCGTAGAAGATCGTTACAGTATGGGTATTATCAAAGGAATACCCACTTACATCAACAGTTATATCATTTCCTGCATTAGAAACAGAGTTAATAGAAGGAGTACTAGAGGTTTGAGATGTAAATGTACAATCAGAGCCTGTAGCACACGATAGAGTTACAACAGAGTTCCTTCCGGCAGTTGTATCTGTACTTGTGAATGAAAGCCTTGCTTCAACGCCTGAACTGAAGTCATAAGATCCCTTTGTAACACAAGTGATAGTTGAACTGTCGACTTGAGTAGTGGTCCCATCCATTCACAAAGCATTGCTACTTGAATCTGTAATTGCAATATTTGAAGTTGTTTCAGTACCGATTCCGATAGTGTTGAGAGTAATCTTTTGTCCTCCAATCGAACCAGTGTTTGGAGTAAGTGAAACAAGTTTCTGAGTGATAGGTGTGGCAAGTGTAAAGGTAGGAAGGTTAGCTCCATCAGTTCTAATTTCAAGTTTTATGTCTGAAGGATCTGAAATTTTATTGAGCCTGATTTGGACTTCAGTAGAAGTTGAAGATATAGTGGTTTGCTCATTATCTGAAATAAATCCTTTAGCATTGGCTCCAAAATTTGTGCCTGAAATTGTCACAATTCCATCAGTAATAGCAATATCTGTAGCAGGACCTGAGATAGTCTGACTATCAGTCACATATGTTATCTTACATCCTCCTCCAATACCGCAAGTAGATTCAACATTCGGCTTCTGGAAAAAGGTAATTTCAGCTTCAGCAGCCTCTATCACAGCTGGAATCCTTGCTTTCACTTCAGTCCCTGTTGATGATATCACTGTTCCCTTTTGTTGCCCAATAACCATCACCAAGCTTGTAATATCAGTGGAGAAAGCAGTTCCTGTTAAGGCTATGATGTTTCCTCCGTGAATGCTAACGTTACTATCTCCTTGTCCTTCAATGGAAATACCTGTTATAGAAGTTTCTGTGCTAAGGGTTGTTGTACTTCCAAATCTTTGATCATTGTGGACTAAGTATACATTGTAAGTATCCCCTTTTGGTGCTCCAGGGAATCTAACAGTGTATTTGAAGACTCCATTATCTTCTACAATGCTATTAACCTTCATTTTTATTGATTTTGTAGTTGAAACAAGAAGTCCATGGTATTCAGACAAGTTAGAGCCTGGCTTTGAATCAGCAGTGATTACCAAATTTTGCTTTTGAACTGCAGATACACTTGACTTATCAATACTTGCAACATTATAAGCTGGGGCTGAGACTGTTAGGTCATCTTGTGAGTGAGTCTTTCCATTCAAAGTTACACTTAAGCTGATTCCACCAATAGTTAACCCTACAGGCCCAGTGCAGGTGATTCTTGTGAATGAAACACTGTTCACTTGGCATACGCTGCCGTCATTAAATTTGACAGCAAAATCTGAAATAGAATTTGCTTCAGTGAGGCTAGTGGGAAAGTTTGTTCCTGTGATAATAATGTTCTGTCCTCCATTTTGATAGAGTTGTTTTGGAGTAACATTGCTAATGGCAACTGGGATTTCAATCTGGTTACTTCCTGAATTTGTCAAGGCACCTTTAGATGTCTGCACGTGAGCTTTATAAGATCCTGAGGGACAGTCTCTCATAATACATTTAATTTGTGTGGCAGTTACTGAATAGCTTGGATGTAAGTCACAGATACATTTTCCAACACTAATGTATTCTACAGTGGTTGTTGGAATTGTTGTTCCTACAACAGTCAGCTCTGTGTAATCTGAGTTGAAGGTATATGAGGTGATGGAGCCAGATACACTATTAAATGTGAACCCACATGAACCTTTGGATGGACAAGCTCCACTTATTCCATTTGTAGTAACGGTGACTTGTGGCTGAGTCTCTACAGTTTTTAAAAATGCTCCAGGAATAATTTCATAAAATGGCTTGTTAGAAGCAGGCATATAGTTGTTATCGTTCTCAATGGTGATGGTATTCGATGGGAAGTTTGGAATATTCATAGCTGTTGTAGTAGAGTCAATTACACTAAAAGAGAAAGCATCAGCATCAGTAGTTGTCCTCCAGAAGAGTTCTCTTCCTTCATCTCCTGAGAAAAATGTTTCGTAAGAGTCTCTAATCTCTACTTTTCCCATAAGTGAAGGAACTTTAGCGTATATTTTTCTCAAGACTTGTCCTTTGGACTCATGAGGATTGATATCATCAGTGTCAACATTGTTGTTAGATCCATCATTGATCCTGATCTTATAATTTCCAACTAAAGGCTGAGTGAGTTTATCAGCATCAGTATAAGTCAACTTGTAATCAGTATTGAGAGCGAGCAATCTTGTTGAATTGTCAGAGTTCTTGATCTCATATACAAAGATTCCATTGAAGCTAGCATTTGAAAGAGCATAAGTGAATGTAGTTTTGAATTTATATCCTGTAGTTAAACCTCCATTGGTCACAGTTTCTTTAACTACTTTAGCATGGTTTCCATAATTAGAGTGGAACTTATTAAAGAAATCATTGATCGATGATCTAAAGTTTGAAGCACTAGAAGTTTGACTGAAGGTAGAAGAAACACAAGGGCATAATTCTGTAGTACACGATCTAAAAATATCAGAAGGACTAGTGATCCCTGTACAGTCAGAAGTACTTTGACTATCAAATCTTAATCTATAGCTTACATCAGCATTATCAGGAATCTCAAGTTCAAAAGACTCAAAGGTATGCCCTGCATCAATAGTAGATCTTTTCCATCCTCTATGGGAGTTGGCAACTTGAGTAGAGGTATCTTCAATGGTAAATCCTACCTGCATATAGTCACCGTATCCCCAGTCGTTGAAAGTAATCTTCATGTAGTATTTCTGACCTCCAGTTAAAGATTTAGCAGCAGACTTGTGATCTGTAGTGTTCTTCCAGAAATCTGCAAACCCAATATTTGTTGCAGTGAAGAGTTGGGATGCAGCAGACTTATCATCTGGAGTAGTTGAGAGTTCGACAACACATGAATCATCACATGCTCCATGGAAGATATAACTTCCATCTTGAGGTGGAACAAACCAGGCTTCAATTGATCTGGTCATCCTATTTTCGTTCTCATTGGTGTTGGTTCTAGATACTAGATCCGTAAAGTGTTTAGCAACTGGAGTAATAGTTGTACCACTAATTTCTGTGCTTACAATGCCATCATACTCAATAGCATGAGCTCCAAGTCCCCCTACGAAATCTGTTGTAGATGAGTAATCACTTGTTGTAACGGTTACTTGGCATCTAATATCAGTTTCAGATACTTCCAGAATTTGGCATGCATTTCCTTGCACATCTACAATGTTTTCGCTTGAGAGAGGGGAAAATCCTTCTCCTCTAATGTTGATAATAGTTCCATTGACAGGGTTTAGAGTATTGGGATAAATTGATTCAATCTTTGGAACACTCCTGACAGTATATGCATTTGTTCCATCAAAGGATTTAGCAAAATCTGAAACAAGATACTCTCCAGTGTCTCCAATCAAGTGTACTTCATAGCTAGATTTTGCCTTGTTTCCTCCAGCAATACCACATTGGTGATAGTTATGGTAGGTACTTTCTTTCTCAGAGTTGTACTCATCGTAGGTTTCCACGTCAGCATGGTAGTCCCCAATTTTAAGGTCTATCACTCCATCTCTGCTGCTTTCTGTAGTCTTGTCAGTGAATACTTCAAAACAAATATCTTGGCCGGAGTAGACAGTGGATGGATACACTCGCAATATCTGGGGAGTGTAGTTAATTGAATACTTTATATCTCAATCAGCATCTATATCTCAAGCAAAATTTCTCTGGGCAGATCCTACTCCTGAATCCTTCAAATGCACAACCGAAGTGTAGGATGACAAAGTTGATTGCAAATTAGAAGGCAAGATCTTGTTGATATGAGGCGTTTCATAGTAAATAAACCCTGATTGGATACTACTTTTAAAATCAAAATCATTGTTAACGATAGGACCTTGCTCATTAGCACTAGATCCTTTAAAATAAACAGAGTGGTCTGCAGCTCCTTGTCCTGATGCAAACTCTTCTCCATCAATCTGGAAGGGTTTGCCTCCCATCAATGATGAATAAATCTCGTCTGTTGTGTTAACAGAGTGATAATTCTTGACCCCTGTTAACTTCTGTCAGTTTACTATATTTTAAATTACCACAAATATATGGGAAGATACTCGGACTTAATGAGAGAGATTGGGGCTTTAGTTTGTGAATTAGGCTTTAGAAGGACAAATCAAAAGAGCGTAAGGGTCTGCTGAGAAAAGAATTTTGGGGTGTAGAGAGATAGGATGTTTAGAAAGATAATAGGTACGATAAAGGAGGGAAGTCTTGAGATTTCTTTCATTTGTATTCTTACAAATGCATTAAAAATCGCTATATTAAAAAAACTCAAAATTTCTCAAAACACCCTAAGTTGCACCCTCCCAACCCCCCTTGAAACTCCACCTCTCTTCAAAGAAAGCTCAGCCTCAACCCCAGTCCTACCCACCCAAGCCCAAACTCTACCAACCTAAAAGCCCAACTTCGGTTTCTAAAGCGAGAACTTGGAATTTAGATTTTTGATTTTTTTGGTAATTGGATTTTAGTGATTCATGAAACTGGAAAATTTTGGTGAAAATTGTATGGAATTTTGAGAAAGATAAGGAATGGATGAAGGATGGAGAGTAAGGGAGGTTTAGGACTTTCGGGCCAAAAGATAGCTTCCGAACGGGGACTAGAGAGTGTCTCTTGGTTATTTAAGGATAAAATTATGGATTAAGGACTTGTGTGGACTGATTAGGAAATGTAGTTTCAATAATACTTTATTTACTTTGACTGAAACGTTCTTAAAAGTTCTGGGAAAGTCTAAAACTGTTGGAACTATTATAGGTAAAATATCTAAAAATTTTAATAAGTATGAGCAAACTCGAGGATAATTATCGTTTTCAAAACAGGGCCGTTTTAGAATTTATTAACTAGATATAATTTTAAGCTCATATTTCTTAGGAGGAATAGCTAATTGAGGTTTTTCCAAGGAAAAGTTCACTTAAACCCCTCCCTTAGTCTTTTCGATGAAAAATAAGACAGAATCTTTCCTTTTGGTTGACTCTATACCATATCTTCTTTTCAATGATGAAAACTTAAACACAAACGTAATAAAGGTAAATTTAATAATCATACTTGAACTAACTCTTCATGAGCATATAGTGAAGGAGTCTAAAAATTTAGAATCTATATGTTATGATAAAGATGAACAAATTTTAACTATATTAATTAAAGCAATTTCTAACTCTTTAAAACCGTCCATAGACTCTTTGTGCCCATTTTCAGCGTCCAAAACGCTATTCTAACTCCTTAAGCCCTAAAATCCCCCTGCAAGCCTCTTTCTCTACTCACTACACCAAATATCTCTACGTCAAGCCCCTTCCCTCACCCACACAGCCCTTAAGACTCAGCTCAATCCTTCTCTTTCCCATTTAAACCAACCACAGAGCCGGAGGACCACTGATGTTCCTACCTGCAGAAGTAGAAGGCCCTTGACTTAGCAAAAGGACTTGGATAGTAACAGAACTAATTTTAGGAATAAGGATTAGCATATCTAACATTTGATTCATGAATTTTAGACAAAGACTTCATTCCTAAAGATCTTTTAGCAAACTCTCGACTAAAGAATCCTCCATGAATCCAGTTTTAGCTTTGTTATATAAGCCACAGAAGGTCTAGAGGGCTTTTAGCCTAGTTGATAAGGATACGAGCTAGAGTTTTCAAAAAGATTCATGTATCTTATGGAAATCTTCACTTTAAGGAGACCCTTGGACCAAATTCCAGCCGTTACATTTACGATTGGTATTTAAGTTATTTGCGCAAATTTAAAGGTATTTAGCAAAGAAAAGAGTCCTTCTATTCCAGGATTCTTATTAAAAGTGATTTATACAAATTTCAATGAATCACGAAAAATAACAACAACAAAGACTGAAATAGACTTATCAATCTAGATGAGTCTTGATCTTTCATCCCAAATATTAAGCTAAATGCTTTCCTATATGCATTTTAATTCTTCCGAAGGTGGCTGCACATACCACCATACTTAGCAGAATTCTGAAAATCCTTGAAATCCTAATAAAAATACACTAAACTCTATCTACCCTTAAGTCATTCTTAATCTGCCTTTCACACTTACCTACAGCAAGTATGACCACTCATAGAGTAAGTCATCAAGCTCTAGTTCTCTCTCTTTTCATTAATATATTATATAAAAATGTTATTTTCCACCATTAAATCCCTTCACGGGGTTTTGGGGTTTTGGGGTTTTGGGG